CTTACATTTCACTTCTTTCTGGTGCGCATCTATAGCATTGCAAATCTTGGCACATGAGATTGTGAGCGCCCAGGTGCATGCATTTCTCTTGCCTGCTCGAAATTCTCCAACTAGGGCCCTTTAAGGTGTTCACAGACAGAAGAGAAATTGAACCAGTGCCGTTAGACCAAGTTAGTACGAGGAAAAAAGATCCCTCTGGCCTATTAGCGCTCTGGCTATTTGCTCTTGTGTTGCCCTTCTCAATCATGTCGAAAAGAAAGAGACCCAGGAGCGTGTTTTGAATAAGGTGGACACTTATCCCACCATGCTGGACTAGAAAAAGAGAGACCGTGTTCTGCAAACCTTGCGGGAAGAAAATCGCGTGGTGCTAAATCATTGGCGCCTTTGTACCATCATAAACTAAAACATTTCTGTTTGCTTTCCAGTCATAGACACAGATCTCACACACATTCTTTCGAAAATTTCAATTTTGTCAAAGTTTATTGAGGCTATATTTACGATCTTGGGGGCCTAGAACACTGTATTGCCCGCTTATTTTTTTGTCATCAAAAACATGGCTTTTTAGTGCCTATCAATCCGGCCTCATGTCATAACCGTACATACTACACGGCATTATCAATAAGAGGTGAAAAAAAGACAACGCTGGCGATCGAATATGCAATGGAAGAGTGTAAACATTTCTGAACCTGTCTCCATGTTTTTTTTCCTTGTTTTTTTTTTTCCCCATGTGACGTATCATGGCATAGTATACCAAATATACTGGCCTGTAATTTGAAGTATGGTGGCACGCTGTTCGCGACCAGTGAGCATCACACATCTAAAACAACTGTCGTGATCTCTATTATTATTATTCAATTAGGGCATTCTGTCACCATCCAAAACTGAATAGTCAGATTTGTCTTTCTCTGTCCATGTGTTTTCATGAGCTATAAAAATTTATTTTATTTTATTTATCTATTTATACAATACTGCAGACCCTATTTGGGTCCAAGCAGGAGGGCAAATACATGAATATAAATATATATATATATAGGTATATGTATATATACATGAACAGCAATCACAAAAAAAAAATGAAAGGAGAAAGTCACAACTAAGTAAGATGTACACTGAAGAAATACGAAAAACATAATCAATGAAAACAACGTCAGAAAGAAATAACAAAAGTAAGAGCACATTGCATGAGCATAAACATTTGCCTATACCCCCGCAAGACGCTTGAAATACAAAAAAAAGAATTGAAATACAAAAAAAAGGAACACTAAAAATAAGAAATGAAAGATTAATCAACATGACAATGGCGAAACATCCAGTAGATATATGTTCAATGGAATCTGCACTTATTAGTTGTGATAAATGCAGATTATTCCAATCGTTTATGGTGCGCGGAAAGAAAGAATATTTGAAAAGGCTAGTTCTGGTCTTATATGCTCTTAAAGAAAATTCGTGACGACGCCGTGTTCGATGTGCTGCAAGTGATGTCACATATGCGTGTGGGTTCAGAGAGAAAGAGTTGTTTTTCAGTTGATAGAGAAATTTTAGCCTGTGTATTTTCCTTCAAAGCTGAAGTGTCTGGATATTATGTTGTTTCATTAGGCTAGTGGGAGAGTCAGTTATTCTATATTTAGAAAAAATGAACCTAACTGCTCTGCGTTGAATCATCTCTAGAGCGTTTATGTTAGTTTTTGTGTAGGGATCCCATACGATGCTTGCATATTCTAGTTTCGGGCGAATGAGTGAAATGTAGGCTAGCATTTTAGTATAATGAAGAGTGTGCTTTAGTTTGTGCCTGAGGTTACACAGTTTTTTGAAGGAGGAGTTACATATGTTGGAAATGTGGTTATTCCAACTTAGGTCACTAGTTATCATGATTCCAAGATACTTGTATTGGTTTACTTTGGTGAGCGGTGTAGATCCTAGGTTATAAGCAAACAACATCATATTAATTTTTTTTTGTTATAGACATGTAGACTGTTTTTTCCTTGTTCAATTTCATACCCCATTGCCCGCACCACGACAAGATGTTTTGAAGGTTAGAATTAAGCATTAATTGATCATTAAAAGAACAAACTTTGTTAAACATTATACAATCGTCTGCAAATAGCCTAATATGAATAGGGGGAAAAGTTTCGTTAACGATGTCATTTATATATATTAGAAATAGTAAAGGTCCCAAAACACTACCCTGGGGTACTCCAGACGTTACTGAAAGTTCATTAGAAGAGTAATTACCGATTGAGACAAACTGCGATTATACAGATAAGCTGCTACCCAGTTAACTATGTATGCGGGAAGGTTAATTGACTGCAGTTTTTCAATAAGTTTACTGTGAGGAACAAGGTCAAACGCTTCCTTAAAGTCCAGAAATATCACGTCGATTTGGCTCGACTTGTCAAGTGTACTAGCAAAGTAGTGAATAATTGTCGTTAATTGTGTTACAGTCGATAACCCTTTGCAAAAACCATGCTGGTGAGGAGAAAGTATATTGTTATCATTTAGAAACTTTGATATTTCTTTAGCAATAATATGTTCAACTAATTTGCAGCACGTGGACGTTAATGAAATGGGTCCATAATTGCTTACTTGTGCTGCGTCGCCCTTTTTCGGAATGGGAACGACACCCGCCGTAGCCAATCTGCAGGAAGAATAGCTGACGACAACGAGGAACGAAAAATGATTACCAAAAAGGGGGCTAACGCTTCGGCATATCTGCGCAGAAAGGCATTCGGTATATTGTCTGGTCCTGGAGTTGATTTAATTTTAAGGTTCAGTAACATTGATACCAAACCTGGTTGTGATACAATATCAGTGTTCGAGTCACATGGCAAGCGATTTGGGTTTACAATGGTATTAGAACTAGAAAATACACTTTGAAAATAATTATTAAAGCGCTCTGCGATACATTGCTTATCGACGACGACGAGGCCTTCGTGAACGATTTGGTCAATTGAGTTTTTTTTTCCTGCTTATAAAAGACCAAAATTTTTGGGGTGCCGTGCGAATGAAGTTTGGCAACGTGTGGTGGAAATACCAGCGCTTAGCTAGCTGTACTTCAAGGTTTAATTTATCTTGCATTTGGTGAATAATCACACGGGAGGCCCGCCGTCGCCTTAGGCGTTTTACTTTCCTTTTGAGGTGCAAGATTTCTCTCGTTATCCAAGGAGTAGTTTTCGATGCTTTTTTAGTTTTGTTGGGAATAAAGTTGCTAAGACAGTAAGCAATAATTTGTTTTAACTCATCCCAAAGTACAGCTTTGAAAATTATCAAGGCATAGTCCCAAATAATCCAAGACACTTTCATCTCTGGCACGAGAGAAATCTTTAACCATTATCGTTTTACATTTGCTGGTGTTTGGTACCTTCAAAGAAAAAGAACAGTATGCTAGGTTGTGATCAGAAATTCTGGGATCAACAGATATAGAAAAGTTTTCTAATGAACGACTAATAAACACAAGGTCCAGTATGGATGCTGACATACCACAGGTGCGCGTTGGCTGTTTAACTATCTGATCCAGATTGTGAGATAGGATGATGTCATGCAAATATTGTAAATGTGAATTATTCGCGGTGCAAAAAAATCTGTTTTCCCAATCGACATCTGGCAGATTAAAATCACCTATAAGAAGAACCTTATCGTTTGCGAAAGATGCCATATGCGTAAAGAGATCGCGAAAGAATTCGGTGGGAGAGTCAGGTGCTCGATAAGCGGCAAAAAGTAAGAATGATTTATCCTAGCAAGAAAACTTTAGTGACACGGTTTCTAAGTTATCAGCCTGTCGTAATGGGGTAGCGGCTATAGTGTTTTTTAACAAAACAGCCCCCCCGCCCCCCCCTAGTACTTCTGTCACGGCGATACGCACTGTACGACGGAGGAAACACAACTGCATCTTCAATATTATCATGCAGCCAAGTTTCCGTTATGACAACTACATGAGGGTTGTAACTTAAAATAGTAGCCTCGAGGCTTTCCGATTTATTAACGACACTGCGGGCATTAATGTTTAAAACACGAAGTTCTTTAAATTCAGAGGAGGCCTCCGCCGAGGAAAGTCAAGTATTTCTGGTACTGTTTTGACGACCGTCGATTTTGACCCTCAAGTCGGTAGGACATACCAATACGGCCAAAACGCTACATTATGTATAGTCACGTTATGAAAAAGTTCACAAATGAAAACATTCGACAGAGAAAAATAGCTAGTTTGACCACAATCCCCTTCGCTAAGCGCACAAAAAGCAGGCACGGCACCCCAATGACTGCTATGAAAAAAATTTACGCGAGGTTGTCTCCATGCGTGCTTTTACGAATGTGTACATAACTTCTGGGGCATGTGCACAATGCAGTTAGCATGCAACAGCTCGCTGCATTGTTCACAAAAGAAAGATTCACAGAAAACATAACAAAAACGATACACAGGAGCATAAAATGCTCACCGCCACTTATAATCACCCTATCTCGCACAGCGGAACAGGCTTTAGAAGATAAAATCAGGAGTAATGACATGCAAAAACCTAGTCCCAAGCACCAGCATTGCAATCCGGTCGAGTCCTCAATAACATGGTGCTAAGTGCGTATCATTTCTTTTCAGCATCTGATAGCCCAAAATCTTCCACATAGCTTCAACGACTAAATTGTTCTAGATGCTTCTGGGGACCCTCGGGCTCCCCGTGGGTCGCCAGAACCGTCCAACATAAGAAAAATGAATGCCAACTGGAAGTGTGCCGTGGGAGGGACAGAGCAACAGAAAAAAACAAGCGCGCTCTGGCTGGCTCTGGCAGTCCGCAGGTAGCCAGAAGTTTAAAATCAAGGAGCCCTATAGGGAGGAGTGTTAGTCCAGTAGTGAATAAAGAGCAGGCTAAGAATGATGATGATGATGAAGCAGAAACTGAGGAGAGTGCGCACAACTTGCGTGCATCTCAGCCACTGTTCACGAGGGTGGCTTCAGAGTTGGAGACAAGACAACACGAGCATGTCTCAAGGACCTCCCTTCATTCGGCACTCACCAGAGCTTTCGTACTGGTATTGTATCTGGTTGGTCCCGTGAGGCTTGAGCTTGCTGGACCGGTCTGCAGTGGCCATGGCTGTGGGGTCTCTCAAGCGGTACTTGTCTAGGCACTCGGTGCTGCAGAACTCTCGTAGCTGCCCATGGTCGTCCAGGTGCACTGAGGCGCCACGGATTACAATCTCACAAAGGGCGCATGCCACCTGCAAAGAAGACGTTCCTGCAGTTGTCATGTACAGGCATGTCGCCCGCAGTTTTTGCTTCTGCCAGAAAACACCATCAGACACATCAGAACTAAAAACCTGTCAAGAATACTCCACACCCCAGCTCCTAATAATCCCTTTCTTCTTTTTTTACCTTTACCCTCACTTTTTACAGCTTTCACATTCTGCTACGTACAATGGAACATTGTTAATATGTAACTGCCAGAATGGCGGCATTACTACGCAATGAACGTACTACACATTAAAGGGGCCCTCTAACACTTTTCACGACCTCATTGTTTTACATGTTTTTCTAGCTGTTTGCGTACACTGAAGGCTTAAGAGATAAGTGCCGCAAGAACAGCAGCAATAGGGGCATGCAATGCAAAGTTATTCAGCGTAGAGATATCAAAATACAATGAAATAGATGCGTACCCTCAAATCAATTTTCACAGGATCACCTAACCGTGTTTCCGTCGCCCTGTGACATCGGAAGGCTGCCTAATCAAATGAACTAATAGCTCCAGCGTACAGAAAGCTTGCATGCCATATTGCCCATCATTTCCAATGTATATTAAGGACGCTATTGTAATGGTAACAAATAATATGGTACTTGAAGAGGGAACGACATGTGCAAAACGAGGCAGCTCGCAAACGCTTCTATAATGTATTGTAGCTTTACTGATCTTCCTTCTTGCGATGGCGTCTTTATACCAATGCTCTTACATATTTTGTTTTCTTTCAGTTTCTTCAAACAACAGTGCTGGAGCGTCCCAGGCAGGCTTCCTCCAGCACAGTGGCGTTCGGCGCTTTCTTTCGACCGGCTTTGCAGTTTTCAAGCTGAATAAGACGGACAGCTTTATTCTCTTCTGTGTTCAGTGAAAAACCATGCTAGATAAAAAAGAAATGTAAAAGTAATCCCTACTTTGATGCAACCGTGTGGCTAGGGTTACGTACGTAACTGGAAGCACCGCAATCATAATGTCCAGATGTAACTATAGCCAGCGCTATTTTTACGTCCAGACGTAACTATAGCCAGCACTATTGTTACGTCCAGCCATAACTATAGCCAATGATAGCGCTACGTCGGCTAGGTGCAGACATAACTATAGCCACTGCTTGTGTTACGTCTACGGTACCATGGTGACGTTAGCACCTGCTATGGTAACGTTTAGCACTGCCGCTTGCCGAATTAAGCGGTCATAAGCTCAGATTCACAGATTTACCGGAATCACTATGCGTGTTGAAAGCTGCGTGCCTGACTTTTTTGCGTATCAGCAGCTCTGTTGAGGCAGACCAGCTGACGAACTTTTGGAAGACGTTGCCTGGTACCACTCTACCGTATCGGGTGCTGCCTTTTCGTTAGCTTCCTTGAAGTAGTCAACAAGCGGAGCAATCATGATGGAACCCTGCCCACACCGCGGTCAGTGGTAAACAGTGGCTCTCCAACTGGATGCAAGTACGGTTTGCGTGCCGTGCTGATGTATAAAACATTCACTAGGGTTATGCCCATACGGTAACAGTTGTTACAGCTGTCCCACGTCGCGACATGTAAATATCTCGTCGTCCGAAAACCACATCTGCCTGTTTTCAATGGCACAGCCCGCGCCAATGTAGCATCTATAAAGGTGTTCTGTGGAAGTATCTCTAAATGTTGGCCTGCGCAGCCTACTTGTAGCGCATTGCCACTTGTAGAAGCCTGTAGTCGCAATATTAGGCTACAGGTGACAGCAGCGATTTTGGAAGAATTTATCATGATTTTAGATACATTACCATGAATAAGTCTTGGTTGATAACGTAGTTTACATTATTTCAGAACCTCTCATTCATTTTGCACTGATATTGAGCATTTATAACCTGTTTTAAGCCTGCATTGACCACAGCACGATCGCGTCACATCAGACAGTGGATCGACGACACGTACACATGAAATATAGATTAATATAGATTGCGGTTATTGTTGAGCGACAAAAAAGACATTCATCTGACTCGTTATATATATATTTTTAGGGGTGTAATGATAAAAACACGAAAAAATCACCTCAGAAAACAAAACGAATTGTCACTGAGGCCATTGAGTTTTCTGTGGAAAACTCTATGACTCATAGAGTTAATACACATACTCAACAGGAAAAGCTCCCAATAGCACCCATGCTGGGATAATCTCGCGGTGCGTTTTCGTCGCTAACACTTACTATTTTGCTACAGCAGAACTGTACGACGCTGTAGCAACATGGTTTTGCGCATCCGCCGTGGCCACGAAGGCTATTTTCTTTAAGAAAAAAAGTATATAAGCGATACCCTTGCAACATTAATGCTGCACTGTTTAAGAAAATACTTGCACAAAAAAGGTAAAAAATAAATTTTTAATAGGGCTTGAACCAAAGACTTTGCCATCCTGCACGTGCTGCGTTAGCGGACTACGGCACTGCTGCCAATCAGATTGATGGTTTAACAAGCCGGTTTTGCACTGTTGTCATGCTGGACGTAACTTTAACAGCTTCTACCGTTACGTCTACACATAGCTTTCGCGAAAGGTGAAAGTTACGCGCAGCCGTAACGATGATTAGCTGCTAAGGTTACGTCCGTCGTGTGGTTCACAAAATGCACTTGAGTTTGATAATCACTTGGCAGTCTAGGACGCTTGCTCGTGTCTCACTGGGATAATCTTACTTTGCGGTGCGCTTGCTACAGCAGAACTATACAGCGCTATAGCAACGCAGTTTTGCGCGTCCACCGTGGCCACGAAGGCTACTTTCTTTGAGAAAAAAAAAATTTATAAGCGGTGCCCTTAAAACATTAATGCTGCACCATTTAGAAGAATACTGGCACAAAAAAATAAATGAAAGTAAAATATGTGATTGGGCTTGAACGAACGACCTCACCGTCCTGCACGAGCTGCGTTAGCCGACTATGCCACTGCTGCCGATCGGTTTCGATGAGTTTAACTAGCCGGTAACTCTAACTTGTCTCATTTTTACGTCATGACGTAACTTTAACGGTTTCTATTGTTACGTCTAGACGTAACGCTAGACCCTCCGTTGATGCAATACCACGATAACATCTAATGTTACCTTTATCCAATCACAAGTCTGAGTCTTCTGTTGTCATTTTAGGTCGCAATAATACTTTCAGGGGTGCCCCAAGGCTCAGTATTGGGACCACTATTGTTTCTCCTCTATATCAATGACATCAGTAGTGTGGCGGCAGAAGAGGGTGTCCAAGTTAAACTTTTTGCAGACGACTGCCTAATCTACGCCACAATTACCAAGTTAGATGACCAATTGAAAGTTCAGAATTGTTTGAAAAAGTTAGATAATTGGTGTAGGAAATGGAAAATGTCAATAAATTATTCTAAATCTACATATACACACATCAGTAAAAGGAAAACTATCCATTCCTTTCCGTACAGCATTGGTGGACACTTGTTGGTGCATGCGCAACAGTTCAAGTATCTCGGGGTAACAATTACGCGAAAATTGTCATGGACTGAACATATAGATAACGTTTGCACGATAGCCTATCAAAAGTTGTACATATTGAGGAAAAAACTGGAACATGCATCGCATGACGTAAAACATATTGCATACACCACCTTCATTAGGACGATACTAGAATACTCAGCCGTTGTTTGGAGTCCCCATCAAGCGACCCTTAAGAAGAAGCTGGAAAGAATACAAAGACTGGCGGCGCGTTTTATTTGTTCAATATACCGAAGAAAGGAATCGGTCACGCTGATGTTACAGAGATGCAACTTAGATACTCTTGAACTGCGGAGAAAAAAATATAGGCTGAAGGTATTCTTCCAAATAATTCACGATCAACTTAAGATTGATAAGTTCAAATATTTACACCCCCCAGGCAAAATAAATCCCCGAACTAACCACGATTGCGTCATAAAACCATACCAAACAAATACTGACATGTTTCGATATTCTTTCTTCCCGGATGTCGTAGAAATGTGGAACAAACTACCAAACGCAATTGTTGTTTTAAACAATGTCACCGACTTCAAAAATGCTGTAGAGGCACACTTACGAGATTGTTGAGTTTGATGTAAGCGACCTCATGTCCATTATTTTGGAATATGTCAGTGAATTTTGAATTGTTATTTTGTATTCTGAATTGTATTAATGAAATACCTGTTTTCATTGTGAAGTGCCGAGTGTTACGCAACTTTATGTACCTTGTACATTTTTTATGTATGTAATTGTATTGTCCTCTCTGTTATGACCCTCTTGGAGGGTTGACAGTATTAAATAAAAAATAAAATAACTCTGGTGAGTGCCATTACGACTTATGCAATCAGCACCAATGTTTTCTAGCGTTAGAGGGCCCCTTTAACCACCAGATGCAAATTTGCATCTACTGATGCCTGCCATCGCCACCAACAAAGGAATGAATGCAGTGCCACAGCAAATCTTTCCTAATGTGCCCACCATGAAGCCATTTCTTCCTTTTTGCCGAAGTGCAGAAAAGATTCTACCATCCTCGCACGCGGTGGCGAGTTCAAGGTGAATTTCCAAACTACTGCAGAGCCCGGGAGAACAGGCGTAATTGACTGTCCTCGATAAATGTGCTCTGCAATCTGCTTTTAAGCAAAAATTGATAGTTTATTTAAACACGGTATGGCCACAGAGAGCTAAATGACCTACTGGCTAGTTGCGTGCAATGCTCTGCCTACTTAGCACATGCCATGACTGCCAATCTGCTTGCTGTAAAATACGCCCACTCCACTTTAGACCATGCCCAGATGGAGCGAGAACAATACGCCCACTCCACTTTGGACCATGCCCAGATGGAGCGAGAACGAGAGAGGTGAACATAAAGGAAAGACAGGGACGTTAACTAGAAGAAAACTCCGGTTTGGCACCCTGTGTTTGGGATGGGGAAAAATTAGTCTGTTGGGTTAACACGGTGATGACAAGATGTTTGCAAACGATGTGCACTCCGCAATGCTCTAGCACTCCTGACTGCGGATGGAGGCACATTTGGGCTAA